GCTCCCGCCCGTTCCGGCGGCCTCTCAAGAATTGGCCGCTCCTGCCTGCTGAAGTGTGTATGCGTGTGGGGGGGATGGAAGTCGACCTAACGGGGGTGGCTCGTGTCTGCTTAAACCGTTTCAGAGACTGCTGAATAAATTGGAGCAGCCGCCTGCTCCCCCTTTTGCCCTTCCCAGTGCTTGACCTTAGCCGTGGTTTGTGGCACTTTCTAGGGCTCTGTGGTGGAGCTGTGGGTGAAATGTAAATGGAAGGGCTTCTGCATTATGGCTAATATAATCTGGTATTTGCAGAAATCTTAGGGTTTTCCATGAAGCAACATCTTGCAGCAGGCACCTATAAAGATGGTAACTGTGTAAGCTGCAATGCTTAAAGGGAATGCTCCACCTACACCCAAGTCAACTATAGCCCACTGGGAAGCCTTGCAGGCTACACTTTATTGACAGGCTCATGCAATGGATGTTACACAAAGTGGTGCAAGGCAATATAGATTATGAACTCTCTGTTCCATACTCTCATCCTCCCTGTAGGGAAGCCTACCTGGCTTTCACTCAGGCAATATTAAAAGTAATAGTGAGAGACTGCTGTCCAGAACCTTAGAAGATAGAAAGTGGCCATCTTTAAATAAATATTTTTTGCTCCTTACTTGCAGGATTTGATGTTGCGAAGACAGGTGATGCCCGAATTGGGTTTGTGGGTTTTCCATCAGTGGGGAAATCTACTCTTCTAAGTAATCTTGCTGGTGTATACTCTGAAGTGGCAGCGTATGAATTCACCACACTAACAACTGTGCCTGGAGTCATTAGATACAAAGGAGCAAAGATACAGGTGAGATTTTTGTGTCTGTGAGGATAAGACAGTATATGTAGACGCAGTGGCGTTGCAGCTGAATGGTCTAGACTGACATTAGCAGATTAGAATTGACATGTAGAAGTGCTTGAGAACACATCAGAAATGTTTCCATGAGGTACTAGTTTTACCGCACTTTTCACTTTGCTCTGGCGAGAAGTGCCTGTGGTAGTTCTCATATTCTGTGTGAGACGATCTGTACCAAAAGGGCACCAGGGATAATATAGTATGTAAGAATCAAAGGGGAAACAATTTTGCCATATTCTGTTTGGATTTGCAGTAGAGTTACCTGGTTTAGGAGAAAGGTAAAAGTGGGATTTATTTTCTCTATGAAGCAAAATATTTTTCTCATGAGTTACCTTCCTTCCTCTGAACAAATAGCTACTTGATCTCCCAGGAATTATTGAAGGTGCCAAGGATGGTAAAGGCAGAGGACGGCAAGTCATTGCAGGTAAGTATATTAGAGCTGGAGGCAGCATCCTATTACCGGTTCAGTTAGTAGAGCTTAAGAGAGTGAAGGGGTTGAATCACCATTTCTGATGTCTTTAAAAGGCTGAATTGTGTGCTGGAATTGAGTTGCCTGCTGTGAAGCAGTAGCCCTTTTTCATTTTGTTTTGTTTTCAGTTCTGGCTTCATATGTTTGCTGAGTTTGTGCTCCGTGTTGACACTGCAGTGAAAGAGTATTACCAGTTTTGAAGACAGATGTGATCCTATATTAAACGAGGCTGCTGTCTTCATTTCTTTACCTAGCTTATTGTCATCATTCTGGGCTCTGAATGTAGACAGGAAGGAAGATTTTTCCAGCCTCCCTGATTCTTACAACTTGTAAGGATCTGTCGATCAGTGATGCTTGGCCAGCACTACAAACTTCGGTCTTATACTGGAATTAAAAAAATGAACAACGTACTGGCCTTCAGGGGTTTAATATTGTCATCAGTCCACTGAGCCATATTTTGTGTTGTTTTGTCTCCAATTGTGTGAGCATACTTTTTTGAGGGATGACTTTATTTTTCTGATTCTTAGTTGCTCGAACCTGTAATCTTATTCTGATTGTTCTGGATGTGCTGAAACCCCTTGGTCATAAGAAAATCATTGAGAATGAACTGGAGGGATTTGGAATTCGTCTGAATAGTAAGCCCCCCAATATTGGCTTTAAAAAAAAGGATAAAGGAGGTATTAACCTTACAGCCACGGTAAGTTGGAAATTTTCTTTAACCGAGATATAAAAAAAATTGAAGAGGCATTTGCAGTTAATGGTGTGCCTGGGACCATTCCTGTGCTATGACTTCTTTAGAAGCTGAACTGCTGTATTGTGCTGCAGCAGAGTACTTTGCTTGGAGGCCATCCATACCTGTCCTAGGAGCCCACCACCTCCCCACCCCAAACCAGAGGCTTGGTCGCTTTCCAACAATTACGGGTTCCGAGGCCCAAAGGAGAGTGTGCAAAAACTGCCTCTTGCTTAGTCACTACAGCATTCTTCTGGACAAGAGACCTCAGGGTTCCAGGCCTCGCGACCTGGACTACTCATTTTCCACTTTCTACATTTTTAAAGATTCCGTAGTAACAGCCAGAGATACCAAAAATCAGAACTGCTCTGGGATGTAGGTGCCTGACATGTAGTTGTCTGTGTACTGAACTAGTAGATATGTGGGTTTGTATTGCAACTGGTCCCGGGTTGACAGGAAACACTACTTCTGAAATGTCTGGCTGCAGCTATCAGTGGCATGAATATAAATAAAGTCATGATTTAAATCTTTTCCCCTTCTCCTGAGGCAAAGTATGGTAAAATTGTAGTCAAGTCCAGTAAGTTAACAATGCAGCTATTATTTTCAATAACCTGTATGCAGCAATTTGTAGGTGACAGCATTATTAATTGTAATACTTGATTTGACTATAAACTTTTCCATTCCTTAATACTATGTCTATGTTCAGTGTCCTCAGAGTGAGCTGGATACTGAAACAGTGAAGAGCATCTTAGCAGAGTATAAAATTCACAATGCTGATGTCACACTGCGCAGTGACGCCACTGCTGATGACCTCATTGACGTTGTTGAAGGGAACAGGTACTCTTGGGACATTGGGTTTGGCATATTACAATTTCTATACCAAAGAAAAGCGTCGTCTCTGAGGTTTGCTTCCCACAGAAGCTAAGTGAGCAATGTGGTATCAACAAGCGCTCTGTAGCACCTTACTGTCCTTTTAAAAAATGAAGCTTTTTTGAAGGTAGCAGTGTATTGCTGCTAGGCTGCTGGAACGGTGTTTTGTTGTCTTTGCAGGGTTTACATCCCATGCATTTATGTCCTAAATAAAATCGACCAGATTTCCATTGAAGAACTAGATATTATTTACAAAGTGCCCCACTGTGTACCAATATCTGCTCATCATCGCTGGAACTTCGATGATCTGCTGGAGAAAATTTGGGACTACTTGAAGCTAGTACGAATGTGAGTCCCAGTTGCTGCCTTGTGTGGAGATGAGTGTAAGGCTGAGACTGAAGAGTGTCTCGAGAATGGGTGCATGATGATTTTTCAATAGTGGTTTTCTGCTAGCTTAGAACTCTGGCTTTCAAATGATTATGTCTTTTGTTACTCAAGTGCGTTCACTCTGTCAAGTGGAAATTATGTTCCTCTCATCTGGTGTGTGATAGTTTCTTCACAGTCACAAGTGCTGTGTTTTGAACTTGTAGGGGAGTTTAATGAGGACCTTGTGAAACCAAGTCCAAAGTGTATCTTAAAAAATTCCTAAAAACATGGAATTCTCGTCAAATATAGTGCAAAGTTGGGAATTTCAGAGGTACCTTTTTCAGTCTGTCATGAGTGACATGCATTCAGCTCTCTTAACAGAACTGAATTTATTTCTTCATCTAGCATTTCAGATGTTTTTACTATAAATTTTTAACGGTTTACCTCATACTACTAATGCATTTCTTTGGATGAATTTATGAATGAATCTACTAATACAATACAGTAACTGTAGTCTTTTGAGCTTATATCTATCTTCTGGTGACAATATAAAACATATTAAAAAGGGATTTAGTATGTCTAGGTATCTAGGCTATAGACTTTGCAAGTTTTTTTCCTAATATACATTGAGTTTTTCAAAGAAAAAAAATCACAGGTCAGAACCATAACACTGTAGATGTTCTTTTCCATCAGCTATTCTTCATCATATTTTAAGCAGCTACAGAAAGTTCACAGGTGATAAACTTTGGCAGTTACAAGGGAGAACCTGTCACAGCTATTGGCTATGCAGATGCATTTTCACCATCAAATTAGGCAGAAGGATGACAGTGCGAATAACCTATGAAATTTCACAATGTGTTGAAAGAGAAGAGGGGGTTTTGGCATTGACTGACTGTTCCGTCCATGTTGCAGCTACACCAAACCTAAAGGGCAGCTCCCAGACTACACCTCTCCTGTGGTACTACCTTACTGCAAGACCACAGTGGAGGATTTTTGCATGAAGATCCACAAAAATCTCATTAAAGACTTCAAATAGTAAGTATTATTGTAAAAGGGTAATTTACAGAGAATAGAAAGTAATCTGCCTCCTGGTATATTCTTTCATTCTCTTGTAAACTAGAAGGGAAAACAGGATTTGGTTTCTTTTTTATGTTGAATTAAATAGATCTGCCAATAACAATTAAATCTAATACTTAAGTTACTATCTCTGATGCTCTCTATGCTCTTTCCTGGATAAACTTCCTCTATGGGGAAAATGTTTTTCTCCATATTTGGAAGTAGTGCTAGATGCAGCATTAGGGGCTGTTGTCCTGCATGCAGAAGTATTTTGGATGACTTCATGCTTTGTTTTGATCTGCTTGTACTCTGGTTCACACAGATCACTCATCCAGGTACTTGCAGGAGCATAAAAATAGCTCTTAAGCATTGCTCTCTGTATTAGCTTTGTGACAGAAATAGCTGTTGTTCTGCTGTTTGCATATTATATTTCTAAGCCTTTTTCATTTGATTTTTCTTCTTTCAGTGCACTGGTCTGGGGTTCATCTGTTAAACACAATCCTCAAAAAGTTGGCAAAGACCATACTCTTGAAGATGAGGATGTTATTCAGATTGTAAAGAAATAAAGTTGTTCTCACATGGTTTGGTGCTGTGCTCCAATCTGTCATTAGTCGTAAGTGACAAAGAACAGGCCCTTTCTATCAAATCTGTAGCAAATGGGTATTGGTTTTTTATGGTAGTACCTTGCTGCACAGTAGGACATGTTTCTGGCCAGCTTGTACTGCAGCATCTCATTCTGGCAGATGAGAAACTCATGTTAAGTGACTTTCACGATGGCAAAATCTCACCAGGAAGCCTTGATGCCTGGGATGATTTTCTGCTGCACGTACAGGTCATCCCACTTGGAAACAAGTTCCTATATCAGGAATTATTTTGTCCTGAATTGGAACAAAACATGAGAAGCAAAGGCTTGGGAAGCTGTATCTTATGAAACAGTGCTAGAGGACAGAGTTCTAGCTTCTAGCTCTGGCTGCCTTAATCTGAAATGTTTGAACACTTCAAGGGTATTAATAGTCCTGCAGTTGTGGAAAAGAGGGTAGGTTCTGCTCACAAGCAGTCACTTGAGTCATTTATAGTAGTGGAAGTAAACTAGATGCTTGCATTTTACTGTGTTGGCGACTGAAAGCTTTTAAGTAGTCTTAAAAGAATTTCCTGCTTAGCTTAGAGAAATCAAGTTGCACAAGAGAAGCTGGCTGCTCTAAAAGTAGTGGTTCTATTGCTTTTTTATGGAAATGAGTAAGGTTAAGCTTTTTGCTCACGTTAGAGCTCTGTTAAGTGCATTAGCCTCTGGCATGCACTTTCCTACAAAAAGGAAGTAGGGGTGTTTGCTTAAATGTATCTAAAATGCTCCCTTATGTTATTACATATACAAAAAAAGTACAGCAAGTTCAGACCCCCATTCAAGCACTAACGCCTTGCAACAGGGGTTGCTACTCATCCTGGTAAGAAAACATTCAAGCCTTGATTCTACTCTAAAGCATTTTCCTCAATATTTTTTTTCTAAACTTAGATTAGTGCATAAGCAAGCTGAATACCAAGGTGTGCTGGGGTGGGTACCAGCCTTGACTGGAAGGGGGCAGAGTAGGAGCTGTGAACAGTGAACCCACTTACCCCTTTTCTTAGAGCTGGTTAGTTTTACAATTGTTGTAGTACACTGGAATCTCATTCCTTAACCTTAAACATGGCTATACAGCAACATTTAAATGCAGCAGTTCCAGCGTATGTCTTTAGGGAGGCCAGTTACCTTTATCAGAGCAGACTTCATCCCCCCTGCCCTGGAAGAAACCAAAGCTGAAGTGTCCTGCAGATTCAGCTCAAACCTTGGTTTTAGCCCACACACAAGAACAATGCCAAAAATTAAATCAATATACTGACACTGTAATTTAGGTCAAGAGCAGTTGATACAGACAGCTGGTAGAATCAACTTTATTTACAGAATGTTACTGGGAAAGTGTCAAGTTAAAAAAGTATGAAAATCTTACAAGGACAAGCTGGTGATTGCATGTTTTACACTGATTGTTTTCGAACAACCACTAGAAGTACGGGTGACCCCCAACAGGTTCCACACACTGGAGATTTCAGCTTGCTATTTCTGTACATTGTCTCTGCTGGACTGAAACAAACCCACCACAGCATGCTGGCAGTTCTTATAATACAGTCACGGGATTTATTTTTTTTTTTCTGCTGCTGGTTTTGCATTCAGTGAGACCTAAGAAAGAGCAAGTCTGAGAATTCTGGTTTTGCTTTCACCTTTTTTAAAAGAGCACAATGGCCTAAGCTAGATGGAGGACATGACAGCAGTACTGGACTCGGCACAAGTGAGACAGTGAAGTGAGGAACCATGCAGTAGAAGGATGGAAGAGAACACTTAACTGTTCAGGAAAGTGAAATAGGCTTAAAAAGAACATAGTATTTTAAAACCAAATATACACAGTAAGATCGCAAAACTACCCGGATCCTCCCCCTTTCAAACCACAGAACAAGACTCCAAAGGCAAGTTTCACAGTACTTGCATCAGTAGATGCACGCTAGACTGGGGACAGTTCTTAGGACTCCCTTCTATAAACAGAACCGAAGGCAGCATAGAACACACCACAGCTATGACTGAGGAGTTGAAGGGTGAGGATTTAAAGGCTCCATTTTGCTGACCTTTAGTAACTAGTTTGCAAGATTAAAACAAGGAAAGTACTGCAGCTAAACAAGGACCAGCACCAGCCCTCTTTCAAGAGCTGTGACCAGTAGGTACCTGCAGCCTCTGCTTACGGCAGACTGAAGGTCTGGCTTTATCGTTACTGTACCAGGTCCCATCCTCAAGACTGTTCGAAGACTAAACAGTTCTCTCATCTGATGGCAAGAGTCATATACACAAGGAATCAGACCTTTGTTTATAGACAGCAAGATGTGGGCTTTTCACTTCGACACTTTAGCTACACTGGGTGCACAGTACATGACAGAAGAATGTGAGAGGGAGACCTAAAGGAGATGAGCAGCAAGAAAAGGCAAAGCAACTTTATCCTGTTCACTCACACTTAGGATATGCAATTTTAATCTTAAAGAAAGTCCCACATGTACAATGGAGAAAGATCCAAACCATAGGCACAACTAAAGCTCCACTGTTACCAGCTACTCTTATGTACAGCTGTATAGATTCAAAAAGGCTATTCTATGTGTATATATACAAAAGATTGTTTATACACAAGTCTGTACACAGGGTCTATACATTTAGTTTTCTGCAGGAGGAATCCATAGCTGCTACCTCTACACTAGAGAATATCAGCACTTCATTCACATATCTTACAAAAACAAAAAATAGACACTTCCAGGATTAAACTGGCTTTGTCTTGCATCTAAATTTCTTCAGGCTTCACTATTCAAGCCATAATGGATCCTTTAGTCTTGATGCAGACATGAGACCAGGACAGGTGCCATGTGCTTTAGTCTCTTGAAAAGAAATTTTGCACAGAGTGCTAAAAATAAAAGCCCCAAAAAACAAACAGAGGTGAAGTCCTGACTATGGACATTTTTATCCAGTCTAAAGAATCACAAGTGTCCCACCCAGTGGTCACTGTTCACTGCCGGTATTCCAGTTCATCTACACTGATGACTTTGGATGGCATGGAAGGGAGAGGCTGCTGCAAGACATCGGAACCAAACCATTTTGCGAGGCCAATGGGAGAGCCGCTTCTCTGGCTAGGGCGATGGTCAAGCTGTGTGTGCCCATGAGATAATCCAGTCCGAGACAGCACATTTTGAGGGGTTGTTTGTGCACCAGCGGGTGATCCCTGTGCTCCAGTGCCTGTGAAATGTGAAGCTATTAGAGGCGGAGTAATACATTCACCCGACACGGAGACTTGCCCTACAGCAATCGCCTGCTAAGGCATGCGAGCCGAGTGTGGCTTTGACTCACTGTTAGCCCTGGGAGATTGTGTTTATTCTCTTGTTAGTACTCCCACAGACTGCCTGACACTGCCAGTTCTGGACACAGTACCACACAGGTTTTAACTGGAAGACCAGCATCAAACAGCTTTTTATTTGAGACAGGTGGTTGGCCTCTTGCCCAGCAAGGAAGGACTGCACACATGCTGCAAGGGGCCCACCCGTCAATAGCAACATCTATCTTGAAACTGAATGCTTCACTTGGGCTTTCTTCCGGCATAAAAGCCTGCAGTGGCTGAAACTGCTCCAATACCCACACAAGATTAGTAACAATGATTACCCAAACTACCAAAGGAGCCTCCTGCTAGCCCACAGTACTGAAACAGGCCCCCAAGCACACTACCCAGAGCAGGCCAGTCAGCATTCTAAAGCTGATGCTCCTGTTTCAATTTTTAGCCCACCTGAGCGCTGTAGTTGCTGTTGCATCATCGCTAGCTGCAAAGGTGTCCCAGAGCGTGGATTTAAGATGTGATGGCTGGCTGTTGGTAGCGGATAAAAAGGTTGGCCAAGGATGGGAGCAGATATTCCCTGCAAGTGAGACAGGTCCACTCCAGGAGGAAGCACACCTGTTGAACAAGAGTGAGGAAAACTCTTACCTAATAAGCATAAGGAACTTAAAGCAAAACAAGCGTTTATATATTTAGATGGGTTGGAATTTATTGCCTGGTTTTAAAGGCGAGTTTTGATGTAGTAAACATTACCAGTAACGAGTATCAGTTTGTGTTGTTCCTAACACAAAGTCAGTCTTCTAGAGAACATGCACTAACTTAAGGGTCAAAAAGAGTATGGATTACCTGCTTGCAGTAGAGGAAGATGTTGCGGATGAACCCCCTGCGCCAGCATTCTCTGGACCAATCCTGGATGCAGTTGATGAGCCGGTCGTACAATCGGTACATGGGGAACAAGGGGTACTTGATGAACAGGACGAAGAAAAGGGCCTCCTGGTACTGGCGAGGCCATTGTAGGAGTCTTTCTACCAGTTGATTTAGGCCTGTAGTCTTGCTCTTTGGTGCAGCGATTTGCTTGGGTAAGAGGTGTGGAACATGCAGAGCGTTGCAGTGCAGGTAGTTTGGTACCTAAGGTGGGCAAAGTTTCTTGATCTGCATTCTCCACAGAACTAGACAGTAGGTTATCTGTAGCTAGAATTGAATACAACTATTATCGTCCACAGCTGGAGATTACACTAATGAAAATTAAAGCAATTGGATGTGATAGCCAGATTCTAGGACTAGCTGAACTTTACTCTCACATATTTAATAGTAAGCATCTGTCTTTCCTGGATGCTTTTGGCCACATTATTTCAAAACAGTAATGAGAAGGACTATGTTCCACAGAAACCCCTTGACAGCAAGCTTAAATTGGGTCAGAATCAGCAGTAAGTCCATCTAATTCTTATTTTTCCTCCTCCTCAGAAATTCTGAACTAGCAGCATGGATGAGTCAGTCCCAAAGGAGACAGGAGATACAAGGGATCCTCCCTAGACAAGACTATAATTTGGAGTTGGAGTTGTGCCAGAAATCTAGCCCAAAGTGGTTTTTCCATGCAGATGTGCCTGGGGCTTAGCAGCAGCCTTCTATGTCTAACATCTGCTTTGCAAGATTTGGAACGCTAAAGCACCTCAAGAAGTTACTTCCACAGACCACCTAGATCAGTTAGACAAGGCCTAAAATATCTGAAAATCATCTGCCGCCAGCTGAGGTAGCAGTAATAGTTGGAGTGCTGAAAGGAAAAGGGTCAACTATATAATAGGAACTGCAAGCTACCTCAGCAGTTACCAGTACTGAAGTGCAATGTCACAGCAATTAGGGACATTAGTCTTACTGGGTCGGGCAACTGGTATCACACATTTCCTTTTAATAGCCACTTACATCAGTCAGGGTGACAAAATGCTTCCTTGATCTTCTACAATTAAGAGCTTAAACTGGTCTCAGCTTTGACTGTTCAGTTACAACCTCTCAAGAGGGCTATAAGTTACTTGTATTTAATTACTGGTGTAGAGCAATATGGAAGCATTTTTGTTAATATGCTTGTTCGCCAAGACTAGCTGCAAAGCAACAGTTGTGGTCCAGGCCTCTTAGTGTCACTGCTGCTCACAAACTGACAGATAAGGAGAAAGCAGACTTAAACCCAGCACTGCTGGAAGACTGCCCTTGGAAGTGTATCCCCTCCATAGCTCTGACTCCCCCCTCTTGTTACAGGCTCACTCTTACACCCTCCTCATTTCCACGGATCAGGACTGTCTGCAGTTAGCCGGGACACATTATGTCCTGAAGCTCTTTGATTCTATACTGAATCTCCTATGTGTGTTATTTTAAAGCCACTACAATACCTTCATTTGACCTCTGATTTTCATCTTTACCATCGCTGACTTTCATTTTCCCAGAAACTGGCTCCTCTTTGCTTTTTTCCTTGCTCTCGTACATCTTGCGAATCACAGAGGTAGGTGTAAAGGAAGGAGACAGCTGCAGAGAACACAATAAGCATCAATGCCTTACTCAGAGCTGATTATCTAGGCCACCCTATCTTAATTGTGGCTGGACACCTATTCTAGCACATCTGTTCCATTTAAAGCTCTTTTGAATCAGCCACTGCGTGCCTGTGATTTCACTTCACCTTGTTTCATAGCTTTATTCTATAGTTTAAGCACTTCTCTTTAGCTTTTGCAGAAGTCAAATACCTTTGTTAAACCCAGAAGTCCTCAAAGTTAAAATGTACCTTGACAGGCTTGAAACAACAGATGAGCAGTATTTTAAGTTACAGCTATTTCCTGTTTGCCATCAGTTCAGAACAGCAGCTCAGCAGGAGTTCTTACAGAGCTGCCTTATCTGTATTAACTCAGGGCTGGTGGATCTGCAGAGAACTATCACCTCATTCATATTCAGTTACATACATCTATGGAAGCCACTCATTTGGTATACAAACAAAAGTTTGATTTAGCAGCTGCTAGTCAGTGTTAGCCCTGAGCTGCAAGCAAGCAAGTACTTGACTAATTGGAAAACTGAGATCAAAGCAACATTTACACAGTCCTGAAGGCAGCGAGGCAACAGCTTGGCTTTGAGGTTTTATTTATTTTCAAAGTGACCCTGAAGCTCCTAAGTAATATTTCAACCTATAGACACTGAGGTCAGTCACTCCATACCCAAGATCAGCATTCTCTGAAGTGGCTAATGGCTTTCAGCACTTGTCTTCTGAAAACTTAAGTACCAAAATATGAGGGCCTGAGTTTCCACAGTTATCTTTTGGTTTCAGAAGACCAGCTCAAGGTAATATTAATGGTGCTTCTTCAGTTTTAGATAAGATTATGGTCAGGAAAGACCGTTTTCCAAAGTGAAGTCATTCAGCTACACGTGAAGTGTGGTTCACTCTTGTATCATGTGGCCACCAATATAATGTGAATATTATTAACTCCTCTCTATGCCCTCCCTCGCTTTCTCCCATTACAGTTCCTGTGATCTAGTTACTGCAGACCCTTTTACAGCTTTTCCTACAATCATTACGCATTAGGTACTGACCATGCTAGTAATGGATGCTGCAGGGGCTGGAGAAGACGCACTCCCTCGGTGTCCTGGCGCAGGCGATTTCGTTGCTCGCTGCTGCCTGCTAATGGACAGGAAGCCAGTAAGAAGCAGCTCTACTCTTGGCACAGAATGAAAGGCCAGATTGCCAAGAACCAACACAAACTTCAGTCAGTAGTACTAATATCTAGCACAAGGCAATACTCGCGTCAAAAACCAGTTGACGGTGTACCCCTTGAATTCTGCAGTCCGACACTCACCTGTTTCTGTAGCCATCTCTGCTTTTGTCCATTTGTGGTTTACCAAAGCCATGCTGATAGAAGTTTGCTGCCTGTATGGCTAAGTCATGTGGCAATGCCAGTCCCTCTAACGCAGCTTGCTGTATTTCCAAAGGACTCATCTGAAGCAGAGTTTCACAAAACCCACACAAATCAGAGCTTGTATTTGGTTGATTTTTTTAAAGATACAGAAGATTTACTGCCATAGCTACTAATGTCTTCACAGAGCGCCTGCCCACCAACAGCCATCTGTTTTACTGACAGACAATAGAAGTTTCAAAAAATCTTGTACTTGACCCCAAAATGGGTCCAATTGCCATGAGGTGAGAATTCGCATCCTCACATTCAGAGTGAACTCACATTCAGCTATTTATGCTTAATTAACAGGCAAGTATGTGTTTCCACAAGTTACCTTTAGACCACACAATATAAAAAGAGATCAATACAGATTAAGTGAAAAGCATTTAATCTAACCTGTGCAGCAACTGGACTCATCGGCTTCCTTACACCTGGAAACGGATCACCAAGCAATTGCTGAGAACCTTGCCCAAAACCTAAAGAACATTCAACAGTTGTGTTTGAAAGGACTAACAGTTTCATTCAGTATATACATTCCAAAGTTAAACAATTCTACATGAATTAAGGATCCCTTATGAAGGCTCTCAGCTCACCCCTTAAGTCTATAGAGCTATGTCTCTTCCTTGTCACGAGGCTGGAGAGCTATAGGGGTGCTACGGTAGTGTTTTGTAGTACAAATGGCCAAGTCTCTGAAAATTGGCTTCTTCTACAGTAGCTGAGCACATTACTCCACACCAGAATTTACTGCGACGTCTAGTTGATCCATCAGACATCTACATTTTTTGGAGATTAATTTAGAGACTTGTAAGTAAAAGGCATTTGCATTAAAGAGGCAGACACTGACCTAGTCGCCCACCAAGTGCCAGGAAGTTTTTATTGTTCTGTAAAGCATTCTTTAAAACAAACTCAAGTAGCAATGAAAAAAGAAATGGTCGGCAACCAGTCTTACCAATGGGTGAAGATATTCTGTGGCGCAGGTAATCTGCGGAAGCAGCTCGAGTTGGAAACACAGGTGGAATAGGGGGAGAAGATGCTCTCTGTGTCAGTAAGGAGGCTGCAGGTTCCAAACCACCTATCAGGCCACTTAAGACATTTGATGAAGCAGGTCTGGTGATGGGGGGACCCAGAAGTTCCTGAGAATAAGTGAGGAAATAATGTTCAGAGTATTATGAGTTTATACAAACAAGCGCATTTTACTACACTACAGGCTGCACTATTTACAGCAAGCTAAGGAGACAAGGTAGACCTCTGCAACTAGATACACCAATTCGGGACTGCTGTTAGAATGAGGCACTTGGCCAGGCTTTTCATTTTCAAGTTGTAACCATGGGAAACAGCATGACAAGACAAACTTTTAAGTAAACTGAACTAGTAAATAGTTCTCTTTCCTCTATAGGGAGTCATGTCTGACTACTGATCTCATAATTGCCTTATACATCTTATTTTCAAACATTTTTTGTTTTCCCATTGGGGATATGCTTTTAAGCACTTCCCGCCCACAACAAGAAGTACCTGCAGAATATTCTTTGATAGAGGCTGGCCGGCCATCTCTGGAGGGGACATTAAGTGGCTGTCAAGGCTCTGCTAAAAAAATGAAAACATTGCAAGTTAGATGTAGATATAACAAGCATCAAACTCATTAACATATAATCCACATTTGTCTCAGCAACAGAAATAATTTCACCTATTCTGTTAGACCCATCGTTTATGCATCGACCAAATAAAACTCCAGCAAAGTTAAGGGCTGAGCTGGCTCACATATCTTCCCTAGCTATGAAAATGCCAGATTGCATACAGGTAGTTCAATGTGCCTTATTCAAGTCTAAGATACATGAATTTATATAATTGTGTAAACTGGAGATGAAACATTGGCCCAAGTGGTCAATTGAAATTATGCACAAACTGAAAAGTGTTCATATATTAGAGAAATTATTTAAGATATTCTTCTATGCATCAAAATTACATGTCAATAAAGGAACAGTCAGAAATGAGAGTGTCTGTAAGCGTGAAATCAGTCTGCAAATTCTTAACAGGGCGAATTTACATTCTTCAAACACACTGTTTAACCAGTTAGTGGCAGGATGAAGTTTCATACTATAATCTTTCCCAGTCTAAAGCTTAGTATTAGCTGTTGTTTAGTATTAATCTTTCAGCTAACAAGTACTGTTAAGTTTTATCTTAGTACAAATACTTTTAAAACCCGAGTTTAAAATACTAGATTGTGCACTGCCATTCCTCTATCAAAACAGAATTCACTACAGCAAGACACCTGAGCTTCAGGTAAGTGCTAGTTGTGCCCATACTACAAGCATTTTAAGAGACGCCTTTTAATAGCAGCACCGAGACAACCATTAAACTAACACTAGCAACTCTTCCATAAAGAGTGGACTGATCATATCTGTTATATAGACAGTACCTTTTCTACAGATGTATTTGTTCTTATTAAATATGGTTCAGACAGGACAAGTTCAAGTGTAGGAGAATCTTAGACACCAACCAAAATGACCTCTACAGTAGCAGATTCAGCCTTTTCATCACACAGGATCTTTTTGGGGGCAAGTATTTATAGTCTTTGAGTCCAGATATTAATCAATTCACCTAGATATTCACACAGGTCCACTTTCACAGTGGCAGTTATTAGACTTCTCACACAGCATTAGAGTTCTGGGGCTTTCAGAAACTTAATATGAAATCAACCCCATGAACTCTGAACTGAACAGCACCCCACTTCCAGTTACTCTGGCTACAGAAAAGTGACGAAAGCACCTCCCTTACTTCCCCCTCCAAACAACAATATTCTACATGTAAGCCTATATTTAATATCATGCTGCTGTACCCAGTCAAGGCTCACATGTTTTCAGAAGGGTCATGTAAGGGTTTTCCAGTTTATAACACATGTCTTGGCACCCACCCATTTCCAGTTCAGAAGAGCCAGGTGTCTGCTACTTACATTGACTTTGGGCTGTGAAGGTAGAGTCCCACTTGCCTTCATACTGCTGACTAGTTTGTTAAATGCAGTCATATCTCCATCTTTCTTCATGTGTCTGGAGCCAGCAATATTCAATGCTTCCTCCATCTGCTCGGCCATAAATGGAGTAGCAGTTTTTCCCTCCTGATCCACTTTCAGGCCTTTTAGACCAGCTTCGACTTCTTCCACTGAAAGTACAACTCCTGAATGCGCTGAGAAATACAACAGAAATACTGGTAAACCATGGTTCTCTCTTTACAAGTGAGCTAGTAACTCTTGTGCAGGTGCTGAATACAAGCTGTTTGAAAACAAGGAACAGCCAAAACCTTATCTTCCGATATTCATACTGGCTATCAAACCACGTCTGAACTGTTTTTAGATGGATATTCTAATATTTAAATTTGGAGTATTGCTGTGCACAGCTACAGGTTCTTGCGAAGTCTTACATGCCTCTTCAGGTTTCAACTGCTAAGTTCTCACCAGCTTTCATTTATCCTGCAAGACATGTTAATAATACATTTTATGACTTCACCTGCTCTTAACAGAGAATATTCATCTGTCAACCAAGTTCATTCTCTTCCAATTAGGAAAGTTCCATTTATCTTATATTCCAGGAGACCAGACAGTCTTACAGCCACAGCATAAGCTATGTCAGATTGTCTGAAGCCATCATAAACATAGAGAATACATACCTGGAAAATTTAGATACCTTGGAGACTCACTTACACACTTAGTTTGGTGTGCATAGAGTTTGAAGTACATTTTTTTGCTCAGAAGTTAAAGCTAGGAAGATTTCCCTGGCATAACCAGAATAAGGTACAAGTGTTATTAAGCTATACTTTTTCTTGTGTATGCATATGTAGACATCTATCAGTGCCTGACATCAAGGCTAGACATGTTTTATGGTCCAGCTAACACACATCACAAGGTATGACACCTTAAGAGAAGAGGAAGAAGAGGCAGGAGCATGCCATGGGTTGCTGTAGCAGACACTGGCCCAAAGAAATAAGATTTACTGGAAGTTTGGGCAAGAAGGTGGAGAAAAGAAATAATGATGCAAACATGCAATATGGAACATGAGGAAAAATATGATGCTGGTGGAAAGGAATTGACCTGAAAACTCCACAACACTGGAAGAACCGTACAGCATTTTATGGGAATACAGAACCCACATCAGGTACTTCCGCGTGAATGACAGCTTCCCCTTAATTTTTTGTTCTTTCATCCTTGGTTCGTGAGGATCAAAGTTTAAAAAGCTTTTAGTAGAAAAGTCAGACTAAGCAGAAGAGACTTGCGTTTCTATTCAAGTCAAATTACGAAAAAGTTCTCCACACACTAGCCAACACTCCCTACCCCCACCCCCAGACTGGGTGCTTAGGAGTATCTGCAGTGCTTAGATGCTTTCCTTCCCAGATACTCCACACAAATCAGAGTAGCACTACTTTTTGTTCAGTCCAGTTTACATGGCAATACATGCTGCTTGCCAAAGAGAAGCCAGTTTGGAATTAGGCCTTAAGATTTCAAAGAACTCATGCATTTTGTGTCCTCCATGCATGCTATGGACCCAAACATGCAAACCTAACTTGGATGTGCCCTTGAACATTAAGTTCGAAGTCAGCCCTGAACTCTGTTTAGAACAGCTGATGATACCAAAAGGGAATTCTAACAAAGTTCCCTGGAATCCCATTATTCTAGCCAAGTTACAGATTTGTCTTGGCTATGCTATGTTACTTAGTTAATGCACTGAACAGCGAGCACAGACCATGGCACTTCAAGTGCTAACAACAGTCCTTAGAAGTTCAAATTTACAGTATGCACTTGAAAAAACTGACATCCTCAACCTACTGTTCATCTTTTTAGATACTGATACTTAATGGATCAATGTGATCCATTACAGATGTTTGCAAGAGCGACTTGCATCTTAAGCTTTTGGTAAAGCCAGAGTTTAAATGCCAGTTTCAGAGCCAACAATACCAGTCTCCAGCATGAAAAACGTATGCAAGTGCCACAGAGCTGGAAACTCGGATCAAGACTCGCATCATCTTAACTTATGGGTAATACTGGCCAGTAAAGCAGTCTGAGAGTCCTGATGTCATCCTGTGATTAGGATGAAAAGAATCAGCGATGATATTGACACAACTGATATCTGTTGAATACTGGGTTTTCTATAGTGTAAGTAAACCTATAATACTTCCTAACGCTGGAGTTGGAAGTTGAGTTTCCCAGAGTACCAAGCCTCTTGCCTGGAGATACTGCATCACAAGAACTCCACAATATCTGAAGAGGCACTTACTGCTCTCTCTAAGTTTTTCCTTGTTGGCTGAAAGACTTGAGAGAAGAGGTTTTAAGTCCACTTTGGCTTTCTGTAGCATTTCTAGGATGTCCACTTTGTTTTCAGAGTGGTCTTCCAATGGAATGGGAGCAAAGTAGTTTCCAGAGTTCTGGCCAGGGGAGAGAATGGCTTGCTCTAGACCTGAAACAGCAAAACCAGGAGCACTGCGACATCAGTTTACCAACGCAATGTCTCAAGTTGAACATACACTGGTAACCAACTTCAATGTGTCACTGAAAAGTTATGCCTCACACCCCTTGCCCAGGATCAGCTAGAAAGTCATCAGGAGCACAAGAAGAACATTTATTAAAAAAACACTTATAGTTGCTTACTCTAAGAGCTTCCAAAAGATTGTCAAGTGCTTGACCTGTGGGAGAATTCACTATCCTAAAGCTTTATCTGCCACGTTCTTATGGAACGAGTAGGAAAGAATACAGAAGGAGGCTATCTGACCCTGCACCGTCCTACAGTCTTACCTGCTAGCCTCTCCAGTTCCTCATGTGGGGTAGATCTCAAGCTGCTTGACCGACTTCCAGAACGACTAGGATTAGAAAACCACCTGCTGAACCTGCTGGCAGACACTGCTCCTTCTCCCAGCACATCCTCTATCATCTAGATTATGGGAGGAAAAAAAAGATAATCTTAACAGAGGCAAGATCAGCAACACTTCTGAGAAGATTTACTGTGCAACCAAGGTTTGTCTGCTTCGGATGACCAGATGGTGCTCCCAGAGTTTAGAAGCTTTGAACTGAGTTTTCTCCCTCCAGTATGGCAGTATTTGTGTAATCAGTTAGCATAACCCATCATGTATCTTATTTATACCAAGTATTTGTTCAGAGAAACTATAATTGAAACAGCATAATTGGAGCATCCAAAGACCATTAACGACACTATTTTAAAGTAGATGCGCAAAGAAAAAAACATGGAGCAACATTTGCCACAAGAATTAACACGAACGATAACAGCTAGTAATTCTGCCAGCCAGGTGGCTCAAGGCTTGTCCCTATCGCCGCACAGGAGTACTCTATCTGCTGTGTTTTCTGCGATCGTGATTCAACCCAGTTCCAGCCCTGACCAAGGACAGTGCCTGGAACAAAGTACAAAGCCAACTCCTGGACTTGTGCACATCCTGCAAGGGCTCGGGGAGAAGGCCAGTAGCTGAGGGCTACTTGCTTACATGTCACACACTGAACTGCTGGGGATTAAGAGGAGTTGCATTCCCCGTCGGCAGAGCCTGTGTCATCAGCGCAGCACTGGCAGAACCGAGGTCGCCAAGCTGTGCGCAGTAGAGTCAGTCTGTCAGGAGTCACTGTGGTTTATAGCAACTGCTTACTTCTTTGCTAATCATTACAAGTATTTCAAAAACTGTGCATTATAAAATTTAACTAGAGCTCCTCCTATCTTGCAAGCTAGTATCCAGTTAAAAGCCCGCTCAGTAGGCACAGATGCAGTTCCACCACGCAGCACATTCACTTTTAGACAAAAGGAAGAACAGCTTTGTTCTGCCAGACAAGCTACTTCCTCTGAAACAACGGGCACTCACTGTTCACAACAGCAACAACAATACAGTATTGATCCATGTGGTTGAGATTGACTCTAACAAGTTAGCAGAATTAAGACAGTTGTATCAGGAAGTGTACAAATCGGCCCTAACACTAGTCACAGACACACCGCCAATACACAGACAGAACAGTACGATAGGCACTGGCTAGTCTGAAACTCACTTTTGTGACAAATTATAACATCTGCCCACTGAAATTTCATCAGCAGATATTTTGACTTGTGAAGTCCCTGCTTTTGAAGGGAGTCACCATCTTGCAGATATGCCAAAAATCAGATTGTCAAGTCTAAATACACACCATTTACATCTTCTATAGACGGAACCAGCTCTCCGCTATGTATTTGTTGAATTACTGCCACCGTACAATAAGCCTTTTTTAATGCATGCAGCTTTTCCACATTGAAGACTAGGTTAGGATTCTACTCTTTTTTTTTAAACCCTAATGTTTCTAAACTATGTATCAGGCCTGTTTCGTTGCTGTCAGAATGATTTTTTTTTTCTTTTTTAAACACATTACTTCTCTACAACACTAAGACTTTTTACCCAAACTCCATCTACTGATCAGTTACACCATCTAGAATAGTCAAGAATAGCTTTTCTTCCTAGTGATGAGAGGTCAGCATAGAAACATCAGCAGTTCATAAATCAGGTCCATGATGGACCTGCGGGGAAAAAGCATGACAAGACACAGACCAGTTGCAGCTTTCAGACCAAACCAGTGAACACCAACCATCCGCTATTACCTCTAGAGATGAGATGCTCAAGAACTGCACACTACCAACAGAAACACCAGAATTCCCACCAAATCATGGCTGGAGGCAAAACCCACTCTTGGAAGAAACTCCTGGTGTAAGTATCAGTCTCTTCCTTCATAGTCTTGTTACTAGCTCCTAGGTATCAGCAGCATCCAACATATGACTTGGACTACAGAGTATCTACTAGTCAGATCAATAACATTGTTTAAACATGCTTTTGGCCAAATTAGGAGGCTATGTTTTTTTTCCCAACTCAGTCATAATAGTTCCAAATAATGAATTAACCACTATACAGAAGTTTAAGTAATGATTCAAATGCTCTGTCCTTGTTTCGGCTGGGATAGAGTTAATTTTCCTCTCAGTAGCTGCCGTGTTTTGGATTTAGTAGGAGAAGAATGTTGGTAACTCATGTTTTCAGTTGTTGCTAAGAAATCAAGGACTTTTTCCAGTTTCTCCTATTCAGCTAATGAACAGGCGTGCAGGAGCTGGGAGGGAGCACAGCCAGGCAGACAGCAAAGCTGGCCAGTGGAAGTATTCCACACCACAGACACTGTGCTCAGTTTACAAACAGGGGTTGGCCAGGGGCAGGGAGCTATCTTTCTCTCTGTTCCATGAGTTCAAATCCTCTCTTGTGCAGGAGTTCAAACTTTTTTGGGAATGTAGTGAAATTGTGATTTCTAGGTTCTGTGATCACTGCTTGGGGATTGACTGCGAATGGGTCATCAGGTGGTGAGAAAATTGTGTTGTAGTAGCTTGGTTTGCATATTCATTACCATCATTAGTAGTAGTATTTTTCCATTCTTGTCTTATTAAACCAATGAGTTTCCCTCTTTTACTTATTTCTCCTCCCTGTCCTTCTGGGGTTGGGGAAGGGAAGGGGCGAGCGAGCAGCCATCTAGTGCCTAGCTGCCAGGTTAAACTACACCACCCTCAGACATACATCCTTTCAGCCACATTACTGGTATTGGTAACAATGCAAGTATATCTCAGACAGTATTCAGCAGGTGTCTCCAGACTTACTGCTTTCCAGGAAGCTCACACAAAGTACCCATTTGCTGCAATTCCCAGGCTTAGCTGCAAGAAGTTGTTTTCAGCTATGTTACATTTGTACTTTGAATCTTCTCTGAACATATCTGTAATACTTCCAAAGAAGGTCCACCCAGGATGCAGACTTTGAGTAATGGTCAAAAAAGAAAAGAAAAATAACCAGCTACTTTGCTCCATATGCTTTCTTTGAAGATGGAACCAGTCCCAGGGATAACACTTTAAAAACAACATCCCAACACTCCAAAGCTAAATCTCTGCAGATTCATCTTAGACTCACACACTGCATAAAGCAACTTTCGCAAAGTGAGAAGTTTTAGCTTTCACCAAATGCAGCAGCAGCAACAATGCTTCTCATTAACACAGCCAGTCTTACAAAAAAAAAAAAAAAGACCTCACCGAAGCCAGGCCAGGAACACTTTTATCCAAGTTAAAGAACTCATTGAAGTCAAACTCTCCTGGAGCTGGTTCTTGTAAGACAGCTTCCCTAGGAACTTCTTGATCTGCTGGAGTTTCATTGGCAAGGACAGCTTGCACTTCATCCTCTTCTGCCACTCCACCATTACATTCTATCCCTTAAAAAGAAAGCCAAGTGATTGCTGAGTCACTGAACTTGACTATTTCCTGAAGGAACAGTGCCTAACAGCCAATGCATTTGCCTAGGAATTAGAAGCACAGAACCGAAGTAACCCAACCAGCTACGTGATATTTCATCAGTTACACTGTGCTGGCTGCAGTCTGCCACAACAGAAAATAGGACCTGCTAGAACTCTAGCACAGTCCTTATTTTAGAGGCTAGAAGCTCTTTCTACTTCAAGAAAGTAAGAACTGCCACTCAATCATGCAAAACTACTGCATCCTGCTCAACCCAGGAAGCACACAGACCAGATCAGATGGGACGTCACACCAAGCAGACAGAGCTGTTACAGCGAGTTAACAGCTGCTGCTGTTTTTCCATCCAGAATCCTTTGGCAGCTCCTGCTGTCTTCCTAGCTGCCCAGAGAGCAGACTCCCTGAAAGCTGGTACTTGACATCAGTTTTCTTAATATTGTCAAGATACAACAAACATTGCTCCTATTCCTCCAGCGAAAGCAAAGCACACGTCACATTAAAGACTTACTAAGCTTGCATAGGTGCTGCAAGAAAGCTGTGACATGACTACAAACCTATATGCTTGAAACTGTACTACATTTTAGTTGAGTGAATACACAACAAAACCTGAACTCTTCAGGTGTGTTATCCACCTGCAGAATTTCTAGCATTAAGCAGTCACCTTCTCTCTTGCCTCAGAGAAGTTTACATTACAGCTTTTGCAGTGGTAATAACAATGGTAGACTTGAAGTCCAACAACCACAGACAAATTCAGACAGTCTCCAAGTTCATCTTAAAGCTATTATTACTGGCAACTGTATGTCCAAATCAGTGTCCCTAATGCTAGTATTACTATAACAAAAAATATTTCAAGTACCTCAGAGCACTAGCTTAGCTTAAACCAAGCCTCTAGCACCCAGCAGAATATGGAAATGGACAAGGCCCTTTTAATAGCCTACAAATTTCTGGTATCATTCAACATCCATGCAGGTTTTTCCTCCCCTCCCCCATCCTCAGTCCTGCCTTTCTTTTGGAAAAAATAGTATTTTATCACTTAAAGGTATCTGCAGTCTGAAAGATCAACCATGGACCTTACATCTTGTGCTTCAGGATGACCAAAAGCTATGCAAGTTTAAGATCAAAGATTGATAAACTGCATTATTCTTTACACTTGCCTGGATCTGTAACAAGCACCTCTACATCCAGCAATACGCCATACCATTTAGTAGGCATGGTGGTGATGGGTTGACGGTTGGACTTTATGATCTTGGAGGTCTTTTCCAACCTTAATAATTCTATGAATGCTAGCAAACAAGTAAGTTTTTCGTCAAATTTGCCATTACCTTCCTTTAGTGAGGCTGTACGTCGTCTTGTACGTTTTCTCCCTTTGTGATCTTCTTCCAAAATTTTATCATCAAAGCCTGTGAGCTCAATGGTTTCAGACTGACTTGTAGGACCAGCAGAGAACCACTCAGGTTCCTCTTCAGTGTAAGAGTCATTCCTTCTTCGCTCCCCAAAGATACGTTTGCTGTCACCAAATTCCCTCTGAAGTGGGATATTACAAAACATTAACCATTACATGATGTTTCACGAGATTCCTCCCCGACCTCCAAAGCAAATAACCTTTTTTTTTAGGTTTAAATGCACACTCAGCGTGTTCAGTAAGCTTTCACATTTTAAACACTTCACAGCTGAATTCCTGCTTTATTACACTGAAGTCTATTGGTCTGCAAGTGCCTGTATAAACTCAGTTTTATATCCTGAGAGGTAGGCTAGTGGTTCCTCCTTTTGAAAAAAGTCTGAAAGCATGGAAAGCCTCCATCTGCTGAGGTTAAAGACAATGCTTGCTGACAACTGTTAGGTCAAGAGTTATGAATGAACTATTAGACTTTTTAATATCCTGCTATTAAGTCTACTACAGGAGAGGTTTGTAAGACACACAGTATTAGATGCATCTCAGTTGAGCTGTCAGGACGATTGAAAACTAAGTTTTTGAAGCACTGAGTGCTCACCCTTTAAACCATAAAGGTGCTTCTAAGAAAAAAAAATAGGCTACTTGCATGGAACACTTGACTGCCATATGCAGTTAACCTGCCCCTGCTGCTCTTAGTGCACAGTGTCCAAGAACTCCGATTTAATATGCAACCAGGAAAAGAAAGAACAAACCCTGAAGCGTTTATCTTTGTAGTCCCTCTCACGATCTCTGTCTCTTGCATCTCTAGAATCGCGTATGTCTTTTTCACCAATCCGGTGGTCTTTATCAAAGTTACGAGAAGAGATAATTCTTCCACTGCCAATCCTACGGCCGCCAATAACACGGACACCATCATTCTCCTTTTCTAACGGGCTCCCTGCTCGACGTGAGCTAATAGCTGCAGTTACATGACAGCCGCCTCCAAAACTTCGCCTTTGTGGACTTAAGACTACATCCAAGTCATCTTCCTTCACTCGCTCTCTTGGATCTACAAGATGACACAAAAAGCACTGAATTTAAAGTATGGGTATATACGAGAGAGTTATCTGTATAATAGCCTCCTGTTCCATAGCCTCGTTGCTATCCCAGAGCTTTTTGAAGGAAAATACTCATGATTTATTTTTGCAAAACTGATCTAGCTGAGACCACAAGAAGTGCAGAGGAAAAAAGTTAAATTTACAGTTGGATATTGAAGAATCATTGCCTTCTCCTAGAAAGTACTTGCTTTCCCGATACAGATTTAAGTACTCAGTATTGAATTGCGGTGAAATTGCCTCTTACACTTGCATTATTACATACACATTTACTATTACAGAGCAAGAACAGTAGGATATAACAACTGAATGCTACCTAAGTTTGTTCTTAGATGTTACCAGCGTACCAGGAACTAGACTAGACTACACTTGGAGCAACCAAGGTGTCCTTGATACTTAATTTTATGCAAACAATTTTCAGAGACACTGTTTAGTCTCATTTGCATCATCCCAAAGGAAAGGTTTTGCCAACAGCATATGTTCAGTTGTGAGTCCTGTGCTATAGAAATGCACTTACCTACTATTCTACGCATAAGAGATGTCCGATCTGAATCCAAATCTTTTTTAAAGCTTTCTACTGGTGAAGTTCTTCCTGAAGTCGGATATAAAGACGCATGCCACTTCTCTGGATCCCAGACACCATCACTATGGAAATAAAATTGCAGGACTAGTTACTACTTGTAGTCTAATAAATAATTCATAGTACTGCTGCTGAAAACCTAGAATTCATTGACTAGCAATTTGTACAAGTGAAATATCTTTCATACCCAGCTTCTAAATCTTTGCCTTGCTATACTTCCTTACCTTACACATGGTATTCTGGATACCTCCTGTGAGAGTAAGGAAGTATAATACCCAGCATCAGGTTGTGAAAGGGATAACACACAACCACATTGTCCCACTAATTATTGGTGAAATCTGCCTGGTACTCTGAAAAAGGCTCAAGTAGATCAGATGCCACTCTTTGAGGTAAAGTCTTCCAAATGCTCATCTCATACTTATTGTACAATAAATTAATCTGAATATTAAAGTTTAGCAAACTTACAAACGCAAGACAAGAATGCTCTCAACTTCTTTTTCAAATGAGGTACACTGTCAACATGGGAGAGTAATCCATCAAGCGAGTCAGCTTGGTGCAACGTGACCTCGTCAGTCTGTGCTATGCAGCCATCTACAGTCTTGGTAGTTTTTCCTGCAAGTCTGTAAGACTTCTGTTATGTGAAGTTACCTTCTGCTGGATCTCATAGTACAATCTTCGTCCAAAGCGCAAGATTCCTAGCTAGAGCATTAGGCCTTTCCTGGCAGATCAGTACTTCTGAAAACACTGTCAGACACTAAACTCCAGAGTATGTACATCTTGCATTAACATAAGCATACTTCTTAGCTAAGAACATTTTGCAATTGAAACTGTTATTTTGAAAGAATCAAGAAAATACCTGTCATATTTCTCAGAAAGACAAGAAGGTCTTTGCTTAGAGTAGGGACGCTCTTTAATATCCAGCAGTTCCTCCTAGAAAAAGGAAGAAGTTAGTTCCAAATCTCACCCAGCCACGAGTCAAGTGACCTAAAATATCTATCCCAGACTGCCTGTTCAATTTAGTGTTTTAATCTGACAACCCAAGCCTCCCAATATGTTGTTTCATTTCCTGTGAAATACTGCTGTGAAAAGTTGACATTAGACTGTAAGTTTATTTCTCAGTTCTCTAGCAGTGGCCACTCAGCAGACACTGAGGCACTAAGCCTTACTAGGCCAGGTTCAGTCCTCATCAACACTTCAAAGGCTGTTCACATCCTACATCTTTCACTATTCACTTCCCTGGATAATTCAACTTATAAGCAAGACAGACATCGTTGATACTGGAGCTAGTAAGTTCTCAACATGGAATCCAAATTGCTGTGTTCAATGCTATATAAGATTCAGAAGGTAAAAAAACCAATACCACAATACCAGTTACTAATGTAGATCTGGAAATTCCAGACAAGCTTGTCATTTCTGACCACCGCTAATTCCAAGATATCTAAATGTACATTATACAATTACCCGCTCTACTCAATACTAAATCAATGCTGAATGACGGTTACTTGAGTTTTTCCACTTTCTACCACCTTTCAAATACAGCCCTTGGTTTACTATTGCCCATCCCCGAGCAGTTCGTCATTTGAGGCAGACTAGCAATCAGTCTCACTGCAGTTTGCCATATTTTATAAAGCATTATTAAAGGTGTGATCATCAGTGCTTTGAATCACCATTAACTTTGCTGCAGCCAAGACACACATTTCTAAACTTACTCATTTTCCCTAGATTACCTTTCTTCAATCTGCCTCACTCTCAAACATACCGAATTGATTCAGCACTGTTCAGAAATCAGTGGGCAGCTGGAAGGATAAAGAGATCCTAACAGCAGACACCACACCACAGCCACACCAAAGGAGGAAATCTCTTCACCTGTCTCCCAAGAACACAATATCCTCTAGAGCTTTGACATCATTATGCCCATGTGATTACAATCAGTTCATTAGCTATGTGAGCCTGATACTTGAAAGTTTTCAGATGGCAGCTCAGTAGCTGGACAAAACCTTAATACACACACACGTGTATCTCCAAGCATCACCCTGTACTGGTCTTCAGCAAAAAGTTCCATTAAACAGAGGGAGACTGGCTCTCTGCCCACAGCTGCCCAAAATAAACCTTGATCTATGAGGAACATCATAGCCTGATGCAGGTGTCACAAGCATTAACAGCACTGTCCATCACCAGACTTGAAAGGGACTGGTTTGTTGGCCACGAGAGGGAGTCCAGAGACTCTCCATCAGATCCTATCACAATTCTTCCACTGAAGTGAGGAAAATTTGAATTGTTTCTAGGCTTTTGCTCATTAGTGGTGCACCCTTGGAGCAACAGCTTCCAACGAATTGGAAAAGACACAGCTTGGACTATTAACACTCTCTTAACAGAGGAGATTAATGCTGGCACTTGCAGAGTGCATTTTTGGAGTTTTCCCTTTAACTCACACACTAGTACTTTTCAGTGGGTGGGGGGAAAGCATGTTTAGCTGTTATTAATCAGTTTTATTCAGTTTAGAAGGATTCATAGTACAAGCCAATTGTTTTCCTACTGGTAGTAAATCAGCATAAACTGTTAAAGGAACTCAGTCCTCTCTCCAAATTAGCAGCACATGACCTGAAACAGTGTTCCTCCCATCACTAATCAGTAGGAAATTGGATCATGTGAACACGGCTTACCATGTTGATTACATGAGCACCTTAAACCAGCTATCTTTAAGACACTACTTGTAAAAAACCATATGATGCAAGTTATTTTAATACAGATTGATTTCTGCTGTTTCTTGACTTTAGACTCCTTGGAACCCAACAGATAAACAAGACTAGATGCCTTCTGGTACTAGATCAGAATTATAGAATGGTTTGGAAGGGACTTTAAAGACCATCCAGTTCCAATCCCCCTGCCATGAGCAGGGTCATCTCCCACTAGACCAGGTTGCTCAGAGCTCCATCCAACCTGGCCTTGAGCACTGCCAGGGAGGGGGCAGCCACAGCTTCTCTGGGCAACCTGTGCCAGGGCCTCACCACCCTCATGGGGAAGAATTTCTTCCTTATATCTAGTCTAAATCTCCCCTCTTTTCAGTTTAAAGCCATTACCCCTTGTCCTGTCGCACCATGCCCTTGTAAAAAGTCTGTCTCCAGCTCTCTTGTAGGCCCATTCAGTTACTGGCAGCTGCTCTAAGGTCTCCCTGGAGCCTTCTCCTCTCCCAGTCTTTCCTCTCACAAGAGGGATTCCAGCCCTTGGATCATTGTTGTGACCCTTTAAGGTTCTGCAGCTTTACCCTGATCAGAAACTGTACTGAATTAACAAAACCGAAGCTACAAATTTATCAGTTTCAGTGCACAGCTACCACCAGCACTAGCCGCATACCGCCCCAAAAAAGCAAGCAGAATTTGAAGTTGCATCCAGTTTCTACTCTTGAGAGGAGCTGGACAAGACTGAGCAAGTATAGATACCACTTTTCCAACAGCAAAAGTTTAAAGATAGCTCTTCTCCTTCACTTTAGAGTTCACTGAATAACAAGGTCCGAAGAATAACATACTTTGCAGCTTAGAAGCTAAAATGTACATCTTTGCTAAGAAGTTGGAATTAGAAAGCCGTACTATTCCCATGCAAGTTTTGCCAGTTCTGAAGTACTTGGTTTACTGTTGATATCTAGTTAAAATAAGCTGGCCCTACTATCTCAACAGAACAGAGACACAATGATAATTTTTTTTTCTTTTAAAAAACAACCTACTAGCAAGCTAGCAGTTCAGAATTCCTCAAGTAAGATAACAGAGTCAGCAACAGCACACTGTCCTGCCCTGTTCCCCACTTCAGGCCATTTGTTGCAAAGTATCTCAACCGATTTCCACAAAGCAACAGCCACCTGTTCCCAACAGCTTCCAGCAGCGGGGAAATCGGCCTCCACTGAAGACTTGTTCTAACAGCGCATTTCAGCAGTGGTACCAAAACCCCAAACAAGATTTGAACCTTAAACCCCACGGTGTATCAAGCTCACTTAACATTGAAAGAATCTTTATTTGCAAGCTATTTAGTTATTGTTCTTCCACTCCTGCATACATTTAGGTATCACAGCTAAACAAATGCACCTGCATTTTAACAGTAAGAATTGGTTGGAAGTGCTTAGGCTTCCAGCAGCCAAATACCAGTAATTCTCCGTTCACAAAAGGCATCTTAGTCAAAGCTCCTGATAAGATCTGGTGTGCTACAAGTTCCGAGGAAGGGCCACCTATTACAAGGAAACGTTTTGGTCAGCTTCTTCAAGGAACACTGCGTAAAGCAGCATCAGAACCACGAAGCGCAAGCGCTCGAGCAAGCCGGTAGGACAGCATACTGCGGTCCCCGCCACCGCCTCCCCGGCGCACGCTGCTGGGCACCCGGGTGCGAAGATCAGGCGGTGGGAATCAAAAGCGCAGCGAGGAGAGGACCGCGCGGCTCCGTCGCGTTAACCAGCTGCTCCTCACAC